ACTGCGGACCCTCGTCCCTGCCCCTTTCTCATGGGTGGACGGTCACTACGCCCAGTGTCGCGAGACACTGGACGAGGGGCACTACACTCGTAAGCGTAGTGTCCTGTCTTCTGACATCTGTTGCATCTCTGCAACTTCTTGTAGCCTGTAGAGCGAACCTTCTCGCTCTCTACAATAACAGAGTTCCATCGGCTCTGGACCTCCGTTGTCATATCGTCTCGGTTGACGATATGATGTCGAGCTGGCGCGAGCCTGTCTCAGACTGAAGTCTTCCTGCTCCGCAATTGAAATGGCTTGTTCTAGTGAATCTAGTTCAAGCCGGAACAGGTGAGTCTTGACGGGACCATCCGCAAGACCCTGCATGAACACCGAAACCAACGTGTGTTCATCCACCGGATTGGAACTTATACAACTCGTGAGATGTCGTATATGTTGAGCGTAAGCGTGCACATCACGCTTACCCTGCTTGAGCTTCAAGAGTTCGGTTCGAGCTCTGAACTCAGCTCTAGGCGGTTCAAACGTTTGTCTGAGCCGCGACTTGAAGACTTCCAACGACCCAAACGCATATGGGTCGTGCAGCTTGAGCCCCAGTGCCCAAGTCTTGGCACGTCCTGCCAGATTTGACTGGGCAAATGCAACTTGCATATCCCCGTCGTCGATGCGACGCGCCCTTATGGCGTCATCCAATTCGACGAACCATCTCAAGAGGGAGTCTTCTTCGATCCCCCTATACTTTGAGATGTCAATCTTCAAAGTCTCGGGCCGACGCGAGTGCATCGACCCGCCAGCAGCAGCCTGCTGCTGTCTCAACAGTTCAAACTGTTGAGCACCTTGTTCTCTCAACAACTCTGCTTGTTGAGAACCTTGTTGGTGAAGCAAGGCTACTTTCTCGCGTTCTGCGTCAAGTTCATTTTGAATGAACTTGGCGATAGTAGCATGTTGGGCATCTCTATTGAGAGCCTCTAGCATGACGCTAACAGCATGGATGCCCATGGTCGAACCCATTCGTTCAACCGCATCCCATTCGACATCGCTCAAATGGGAGTAGCCGTCACGCGTAGCGTGAAAGCTTTGGTCATCTTCATCATCCAACATATTCATGTTGGATGTGAACGCGGTCCTTGGACGGACTACGAAGTGCTACCAGGTGTAACGGGGCACCCTGAAGCTTGTACTGGTGACAGTACAAGCTACTTATTCTGATAACAGAATAAGGCGGTGCCTCGTAACTTCACGTACACTCGTACGTGCAGAGGGAAGACGGTAAGAAGAAGCGAGTACTCGGTTAGAGTAAAAAGTAGAACTGTATTTATAATAGTTAATGTCTGCAATAAATCACTATTTATCTTCATCTAACTATGTCTAAATACAAATGTGTAAATCAGTTATCTGCTCACCACTCATTGCGTGCGTCTGTCGTGGCGCGTCTTCGTTGGTTGATATAATGGCCTATATCAACCAATTAGGAACTACTTGGAAGTGCTACAGAATATTGTCCTTTTGACAATATTCTGAGAATATAACTCTTATAGTTATATTCTATTAACAATTTCTTATAAATTGTTATGTAACGATTCACCCCGTTACATTTTGACTTTGTCTTCATTGGGCCCATCGCGTCCGTGTGCACAAGCTTTAATACAATTAATATGCGTGTTTGGGATCGCGATGGGAATCTCTCTACCGTCAGATTTCCTTTCACGCAGCCACCGCAAAATTCTTGACCTAGTTTTCTTGATCATCGGTGCCCCGCTGCAGCCAGTTGCGTTCTAACCGCGCTTCTTAGCTCGGATGACTTATTCGAGCATACCTTATCTCCCAATCATCGTCAACTTTTTCTACTTCACATTCTGTAGTATGTCTTGATGACATTCCAGCACATGTGTCTTGTCGATTTCTGTCCGGATGCCACTGCCTTGGACTTGTTCCTAATGACCCATAATCATTGACGGGATTCAACACTCACGCACCGGTCAGCCAATTTGCCGACGAACAGCAACCGTCGTTTCAAACCTGGAATTTGCAGAGCTCCCGATACACGTATCTGTTTGCCTCCGGTGTTCTTCAGGAGTTTTCCTTCTTTCCGACAACGCAAAGTTTCTTACCATTTGCAATGGTAACTTTAATGTCGCTCGCAAATGTCTCGTATCAGACGAATTCTTCACGATACGGTGACATGCGTGCTATTGCACACTTATCAATCAACCAATCGGCTGATCGACCACCGACGGTAAATACGGTATCACCTTCACCGTTGCCGATCCTGGTGGGGCAATCACGCTTGAAATGCCCGACTTGGTTGCAGACGAAGCAATTATCTTGAAACCTTCTTACTTCCTTGAACTGTGATCCCTTTGACCATGTCCCTTTGCAGCTTTTGCGCTCTTCGAGATTCTGAACTTGCTTCCCTGGGTCGCCTTCAGTGCAAGCTTTTGACTTTAATTCTTCTCCAGTTGTTCAATTTCTTTCAGCAGCTTCTCCTTGACCTCGATCAGCGTGGTGCCTAAAGAATTTTTCACGATGGAGGAGATCAGCTCATACTCCTCCGGGAGACTGCTCAGCAGAATTACCGATTGTAGAGCTCCCCCCAGAGGTTCGTTCAGTGTCTGCAGCCTCACAATCATTTCATCGAAACTGTCGAGGTGCTCGGACATCGTCATTCAGGCTTCCATCTCGTTCTCATGGGGACTACGAGTCATCGACACACAGCTGTGTAGCGTCGCCCGATTGTAGAAGTCCATGAGCGTAATTATTGAATGAAGAGACGAGGTAGCCGTAGTGCGGTGGTATTATGCAATCCCTAGGACAATCAGCCCTAGAGCCTTCATTTCGTTTAGCAACCATCCTTCAGTTATCTACGACGGGTACTTCACAAATTTTGACATGTTCCAGAAGTCCCTTCCACGCCAGCGCCATACGGATGGCGAAATCCCGGTGAAAGTAATTGTCACTTCCTAGGATGACTTCGAATTTCTTTGCGGGCATACTTGCCTCTTGATCTGGCGACGGACAAGGTTAAGCGTTGCGGCTATCAACCTGTTGAGTTTAAAGGCGAATGCCAATGCAATTTATTGATTAAAATCCTGATTTCTCATGCTTTAATACTACATCTAAGTCCTATAATGAAAATGTGTTTCCATCGTACAAGAAACATTGTCGTCCTAACGCCGTTATCACTAAACGATAATCTTCTGGTAATCAGTTTACTACATGACAGCTGAACCTTCGTAAGCTTCCCTTATGTACTCACGAAAGTGAGCCACACCCAAAATATAAATACAAAGGATGCACCCTGTCAACAAAAAGATCGCGAAGGGAGTAAAAAACGTGGGGCCGAAACGCAGGAGCAGTCCAGCAGGTTGATCACATCCGAGGACAGAATGTCCATTCGGAAAACGTGTCGGTATCGTACGACTAATCACTACTACCCATCTAGCTTAGCATCTCTGGAGGTTCAATCGGGGTAGTCGGAGCGAACAAGCCAATGATGAGACAGAGGCTGTCATCCAAATGTGATTACGGTTTGACATTAAAGCGAGCGTCCGATTGAGGTGAGGCTCGTGGACTTTGTGGTCGAGAAACACGGACCATGCACAGCCGTAGGTCGTGGGCTTTGTGGTCAAGAAACACGGGTCATGCACACCCTTAGGTGGTGGACGTAGTTGGTAGTGGCCATCTTCTAGCACTGGATGTCTCGCAAACAGCAACTCACCTGTCCTGAAGCAGTCACGACACTCGAGAAAGTGACGCAACAAGATGCGTGGCATGTCGCGCTTAACTCGCGAGTAGCTTTATGACGCCTCGTCCCCGTCACAACGTGTCCATCAACCAGAGTGTCAAATACACGAAGAAGAAATTAATCTGGCAGTGCTACTTTTAGTGACTATATCGTTTGATCAGCTAGCATTGAGGGTACGGCGTGTAAAGGTTCTATAACAAGGTTTTGTCAACACCTATGCCAGCGTATCGAGCTGGAATAGTTAGACACAAACGTGGAGACCATAAATCCCATCTCATTTTACACGGCCTCGGAGGAAAACAAACACCGCAGTCGGGAAGAACGCCATCCATGCTGAGTTTTTTCGACCAAATAGTCGCTGGATGGCCGACGCTTCACTCGTATCAACGGCGAAAGGTATACGGCGACGTTGTTCGAGTGGAGTTATACGAGCGACAAGAGCCAAATGCAAACAACAATCGAATGCACGACTTGAATGAGTGTCAAACGAGATGGAATGAGGGTGTCGACATGAACGATAGTTTATCCCATAGTTTACCGATTTCACAGCAATCCTTCCTGCTTTTCTGCCAGCTACGAACACCAATGTTTTTGGCACTCGCCTCCACAGCGTTTCTGGAACACGCATGATCGACTCGATAGTGGGCGGCTGCTCTATGTTGCGACGGAGCATTTCGGCAAAACGCCTTTTGTGGTGAGATCCTTGATTATCGATTGCGCTGGGATACCACCATTCAAGCACCCACCGCAGTGGTGCATCGCGATGACATTATGGTCACTCGTGCCAAGGTATCGGTGAGCCTGACGCTCCTTCCTGGGTGTCGATATAGTAGCCCACATCGTCTTCGCGGCATTCGGTGACCGTCAGCGACTCGACACGTCCTGGTTGACCATTATACAGCCATGCAATACGTTTGCCATAGCCCAGCGGATGCTGCGGAATGTAAATGCTTTCCTTCGGTACCGCTCCCGATGCGCGGAACTGTAGATAGCCACTCGTCTTCTCGTACAGGCCGGAGTAATCCGCAATACTGTCGTCGATACCAAGTCGGACCACCGCGTAGTCCAACTCTTCCGAGACGGCCACTAGTGTTGGCGACGTCACGCCAATCGGTCCTGGACATCCACCTTGAGAGTCACAAGTCTCACCGCCTTTGCAACTCGTTGACTGAGCGAGAAACTCGACCTTTGTATTGAGCGCATCTTGGTTATTGCCGATGCAGTGCTGATTCGTAATCAAGTGACCTTCGCAACCAAGTAGCTAGCCCGTACAGTAAGCGATGACCATGCCATTATCCTTACTTATCGACAGTCGCGCAACCGGTTGCGACTTGGCCAGCATGATGGCTCCTTCAGCAATGTTGGTAGCACTCGGCGCACAAGCAGCCTCGACGGATTCATCCGCACCACATAGACTTTCGTTGTTGATGTGATCGTTGTCATTGGTGTCAGTCGTATTGGAGAGGTTGGTTAGTGGCACCTTGACAGCCACTTGCAGGTGCTGCGCCTCATCCACGAGCTCTTTCGGGGTAAAGAGCAATCGGTCCACGGTGAAGCCTCGACACGAAGTCGAACTGGATTGATCGGATACCGGAGTCTTGAATAGTTCCAGGACGACTCCGTTCCCCGATATCGCGGTCGAGTGAAAGTTGCCCGTTGCATTCTTTCCCGACAGCACGGCCACCGCTGGTGTCGTCTCTGGATCTTCGGAAGCCCAAAGTACCAGACGATCGGATTCGGGAAGGTTGAAGTGCGTGAAATGCAGCACGTAGATGCCCTCCCCGAGCCCAGGGTCAGGCTGTAGACGATAGGAAGGCTCGCTTTTGGTCGCATTTGGCAAGGTCGAGTAATTGGAGAATGCGCACCCCGCGCCAACCAGGATCTCTACTTCTTGACCTGTTGCTTGGGCAGCGGTATCCACAGCTGCAAGTGCGATTAGGAAAAATGAAAAAGGCCACTGCATCTTCGTATCGTCGTGTGTCTGGAGCAAACAAGTCAAAAAGTGTTGTGACGCTGTATCCTTGCTTGCCATTTCTGCCGTCCATCTCTGATGTCACGAGGAAGTGATTGAAAGAGAACTTCGTCGTCCTTCAACGGAGTGAGGTGGTATGACGTTTTGGACGTCCACACGCTCCAGGACGGATGGTTTGCTATCGACTTGAGTCGTCCAGAAAGCTGCTAGATCGTGTGCGACTGATAACACTTGACTACCATCTCATCAATGTACCGCATACGATCACCATCGCCAGTTGTTTACCACTTCAAGACCGTCATCTGCCTCTACGGCAATCTGGTTGATGGACACGTTGTGACGGTAATGAGGCGTCATAAAGCTACTCGTGAGTTAAGCGCGACATGCCACGCATCTTGTTGCGTCGCTTTCTGGAGTGTCGTGACTGCTTCAGGACAGGTGAGTTGCTGTTTGCGAGACATCCAGTGCTAGAAGATAGCCACTACCAACTACGTCCACCACCTAAGGGTGTGCATGACCCGTGTTTCTTGACCACAAAGTCCACGACCTACGGCTGTGCATGGTCCGTGTTTCTCGACCACAAAGTCCACGAGCCTCACCTCAATGGGACGCTCGCTTTAATGTCAAACCGTTATCATATTTGGATGACAGCCTCTGTCTCATCATTGGCTTGTTCGCTCTGACTACCACGATTGAACCTCCAGAGATGCTAAGCTAGGTGGGTAGTAGTGATTAGTCGTACGATACCGACACGTTTTCCGAATGGACATTCTGTCCTCGGATGTGATCAACCTGCTGGACTGCTCCTGCGTTTCGGCCCAGGTCTTTTTTTTCTCTTTTTCGCGATCTTCTTCAGGTGCAGTTGTTTACACCATGTAGAATGCAGGAGCAATCAAGTTTTTGTAGCTCTCAAACCTTTGCAGCACTCCGTCCAAGACGAAGTGTGAACATCGCATAAGAGTAACGATGATGTATATACATCTGGGTACAATGCCGTGGCGCTGAGCGCTACCCGACTTATCCACCCCAGCAGACACGTACTAGTAGCAGCACATGTCGATAAATACGTCACCCACGTATACACATACCTGGATGTGGAATGCGCGCAAATACGGGCGTACTGACGCGAACACCGACGTTCTTTGATGTCGTATATCGGTAAGGTGTGCCAGGTGTGTATGCATCACCACATACGATTGAAGTCGCACAAGACGCATACTAGCAGGAGATGCGAACTAGGATAGAGTTCTGCTCAGCTACGATATCACACACGTAGTTCGATTGGTTAAGCTCTATCTCTCTTCGATGCTTTTCTATTCCGCTGTTATGACTGATCCAAGAAAGCTTCATCGATGTGTGGCTCCTGGCCTTATGCTCCTTCTGTTTTGGCAGCAAAGACAACATGACGTCACTCGCATGTACAGACCTTGTCACACTGGTGCTCGACATTAGAGAGCGTAAATATCCCGTGGAGTCAACGGATGTGAAGCAAAGAGTCACGACGAGCTCGAAGACGTGATCAATACTCATGAGCGTAGTGTCCAATCTTCTGAAAGCCTAGAACTTCCATAGCGTGGTCGATGTTCTCGTGAACAGTTGAGTTACCTTGCTCAACGGCAGTACTATTGCATAGATGAGGAGACGTACCGGTAGCTCATCCCCAATATGCTTGTGATGTTGCGTATCCGACTGGCTATGCTGTCTCACATATAAGCAAAGCATCGATTGACAGTGCCGGCTTTCGTGACCATATCAAGTGATCAGCTAGCATTGAGGGTACGGCGTGTAAGGTTCTATAACAAGGTTTTGTCAACACCTATGCCAGCGTATCGAGCTGGAATAGTTGGGCACAAACGTGGAGACCATAAATCCCATCTCATTTTACACGGCCTCGGAGGAAAACAAACACCACAGTCGGGAAGAACTCCATCCATGCTGAGTTTTTCGACCAAATAGTCGCTGGATGGCCGACGCTTCACTCGTATAAACGGTGAAAGGTATACGGCGACGTTGTTCGAGTGGAGTTATACGAGCGACAAGAGCCAAATGCAAACAACAATCGAATGCACGACTTGAATGAATGTCAAACGAGATGGAATGAGGGTGTCGACATGAACGATAGTTTATCCCATAGTTTACCGATTTCACAGCAATCCTTCCTGCTTTTCTGTCAGCTACGAACACCAATGTTTTTGGCACTCGCCTCCACAGCGTTTCTGGAACACGCATGATCGACTCGATAGTGGGCGGCTGCTCTATGTTGCGACGGAGCATTTCGGCAAAACGCCTTTTGTGGTGAGATCCTCGATTATCGATTGCGCTGGGATGCCACCATTCAAGCACCCACCGCAGTGGTGCATCGCGATGACATTATGGTCACTCGTGCCAAGGATCGGTGAGCCTGACGCTCCTTCCTGGGTGTCGATATAGTAGCCCACATCGTCTTCGCGGCATTCGGTGACCGTCAGCGACTCGACACGTCCTGGTTGACCATTATACAGCCATGCAATACGTTTGCCATAGCCCAGCGGATGCTGCGGAATGTAAATGCTTTCCTTCGGTACCGCTCCCGATGCGCGAAACTGTAGATAGCCACTCGTCTTCTCGTACAGGCCGGAGTAATCCGCAATACTGTCGTTGATACCAAGTCGGACCACCGCGTAGTCCAACTCTTCCGAGACGGCCACTAGCGTTGGCGACGTCACGCCAATCGGTCCTGGACATCCACCCTGGGAGTCACAAGTCTCACCGCCTTTGCAGCTCGTTGACTGAGCGAGAAACTCGACCTTTGTATTGAGCGCGTCTTGGTTATTGCCGATGCAGTGCTGATTCGTAATCAAGTGACCTTCGCAACCAAGTAGCCAGCCCGTGCAGTAAGCGATGACCATGCCATTATCCTTAATTATCGACAGTCGCGCAACCGGTTGCGACTTGGCCAGCATGATGGCTCCTTCAGCACTGTTGGTAGCACTCGGCGCACAAGCAGCCTCGACGGATTCATCCGCACCACATAGACTTTCGTTGTTGATGTGATCGTTGTCATTGGTGTCAGTCGTATTGGAGAGGTTGGTTAGTGGCACCTTGACAGCCACTTGCAGGTGCTGCGCCTCATCCACGAGCTCTTTCGGGGTAAAGAGCAATCGGTCCACGGTGAAGCCTCGACACGAAGTCGAACTGGATTGATCGGATACCGGAGTCTTGAATAGTTCCAGGACGACTCCGTTCCCCGATATCGCGGTCGAGTGAAAGTTGCCCGTTGCATTCTTTCCCGACAGCACGGCCACCGCTGGTGTCGTCTCTGGATCTTCGGAAGGCCAAAGTACCAGACGATCGGATTCGGGAAGGTTGAAGTGCGTGAAATGCAGCACGTAGATGCCCTCCCCGAGCCCAGGGTCAAGCTGTAGACGATAGGAAGGCTCGCTTTTGGTCGCATTTGGCAAGGTCGAGTAATTGGAGAATGCGCACCCCGCGCCAACCAGGATCTCTACTTCTTGACCTGTTGCTTGGGCAGCGGTATCCACAGCTGCAAGTGCGATTAGGAAAAATGAAAAAGGCCACTGCATCTTCGTATCGTCGTGTGCCTAGAGCAAACAAGTCAAAAAGTGTTGTGACGCTGTATCCTTGCTTGCCATTTCTGCCGTCCATCTCTGATGTCACGAGGAAGTGATTGAAAGAGAACTTCGTCGTCCTTCAACGGAGTGAGGTGGTATGACGTTTTGGACGTCTACATGCTCTAGGACGGATGGTTTGCTATCGACTTGAGTCGTCCAGAAAGCTGCTAGATCGTGTGCGACTGATAACACTTGACTACCATCTCATCAAAGTACCGCATACGATCACCATCGCCAGTTCTATACCACTTCAAGACCGTCATCTGCCTCTACGACAATCTGGTTGATGGGCACGTTGTGACGGTAATGAGGCGTCATAAAGCTACACGCGAGTTAAGCGCGACATGCCACGCATCTCGTTGCGTCGCTTTCTGGTGTGTCGTGACTGCTTTAGGACAGGTGAGTTGCTGTTTGCGAGACATCCAGTGCTAGAAGATAGCCACTACCAACTACGTCCGCCACCTAAGGGTGTGCATGACCCGTGTTTCTTGACCACAAAGTCCACGACCTACGGCTGTGCATGGTCCGTGTTTCTCGACCACAATGTCCACGAGCCTCACCTCAATGGGACGCTCGCTTTAATGTCAAACCGTTATCATATTGGGATGACAGCCTCTGTCTCATCATTGGCTTGTTCGCTCTGACTACCACGATTGAACCTCCAGAGATGCTAAGCTAGGTGGGTAGTAGTGATTAGTCGTACGATACCGACACGTTTTCCGAATGGACATTCTGTCCTCGGATGTGATCAACCTGCTGGACTGCTCCTGCGTTTCGGACCACGTCTTTTTTCTCTTTTTCGCGATCTTCTTCAGGTGCAGTTGTTTACACCATGTAGAATGCAGGAGCAATCAAGTTTTTGTAGCTCTCAAACCTTTGCAACACTCCGTCCAAGACGAAGTGTGAACATCGCATAAGAGTAACATGATATGTATACATCTGGGTACAATGCCGTGGCGCAGAGCGCTACCCGACTTATCCACCTCAACAGACACATACTAGTAGCAGCACATGTCGATAAATACGTCACCCACGTATACACATACCTGGATGTGGAATGCGCGCAAACACGGGCGTACTGACGCGAACACCGACGTTCTTTGATGTCGTATATCGGTAAGGTGTGCCTGGTGTGTATGTATCACCACATACGATTGAAGTCGCACAAGACGCATACTAGCAGGAGAAGCGAACTAGCATAGAGTTCTGCTCAGCTACGGTATCACACACGTAGTTCGATTGGTTAAGCTCTCTCTCTCTCTTCGGTGCTTTTCTATTCCGCTGTTATGACTGATCCAAGAAAGCTTCATCGATGTGTGGCTCCTGGCCTTATGCTCCTTCTGTTTTGGTAGCAAAGACAACATGACGGCACTCGCATGTACAGACCTTGTCACACTGGTGCTCGACATTAGAGAGCGTAAATATCCCGTGGACTCAACGGATGTGAAG